AAATCTGGGCAGCTCAACTTCTGAAATGTCTTATGGGGACAGTGCTTGCGATTTGAAATCTGGTCGGCGCATTATCTGGAAATTTCTTGAGGGGACACTGCTTGCGATTTGTGATTTGGGGAGCTCAGTATCTATCTTTATTGCGGAAGGGACTTCCATTTCATTTGGTTCTACCGATCGCCTAAGTACTGTCTCCTTAATTATACAAATATGTTAGATCTATTGCTTCTGACACCTTTGATAACTCGTGCCGTAGGTAAGACCGTGTTTCATTGTTCTCTATGAAATATATCTATTCGTCTGATTTTCTTGGGGGTTCTCACCCTGTGGCTGGTGCGGTCTTTTTCATTAATGCCCTTCTTATGCGTTCTTTTAAAACCATCTCCAACCTCTACCCTGTTGCGCTAAACCCTAAACCCTGCCTCATAAAAAGAACTATATACATATATATATATACACATATACATGTGCCCTTATTCCCTACTAACCCTAAACCCTAAACCCTACATAAAACCCGAAACCTAAACCCTATAAGTATACATATATATATATATTCCCTTATTCCCTGCTAATCCCTAGTGAGTCATGGTCCTTGGGAGAGGCTGTAGGGTCTCGTAGCCGAGCCAGGAGCAGGGCCTGGCAACTTCTCATATAGAATTTGGGCTTTCCCAAAATTAGGGCATAATATAGGGGTGATAAGGGTTATGTAAAGGTTATATGAGGATTATATAGGGATTACATAGGGATATTCCCCACAACAATGGAGAATCCAAAGGAAAAGACTAGGGAAAATGAAACCGCAACTGTGACTATGTAGGGATTAGGATCTCCCCAATATTGCCGACAAATTTGTGGGGGTCCATATAAGAATGATAACATTTCGGGGTCCATATCATTTGGGGTCCCCCTATTAGTAGAAACTAGAACTTCCACTTGACAGCTCTGGCGGCTATGGACAAGCAGCACTCCGGGGCCTTAATGTTACGCTTCCCTCGCCGCCCAGACCTGGGACCAGAAGAAACGTGCGCTGCAGTGAAGCAGACGAGGCTATGTGAGCTCTAGTAAAACTCCTTGTATCCCTCTTAATAGCACCTAGAATATTCTCCTATATCATGCTCGAAATAATCCCCATTAAGGAATATCAGTTGGCAGCTTCTAGTGGGACACAGGCCTCGCTGGTCTGCACTCTTGCACCATTCATTGGTCACGGCCGGCAGGCCCACAAGAGGCAACCTACCAAATGCAAAAGGGTTGCGAACCTACCAGCATGCAAGTTGACGTCAATGATCTCGAATTCTCTGTTGGCCGGGGCAGAGATACAGCTGCCTTCGAGGCTATTCGTTTCTTGAAGTTGAGCCCCTGCGGCTGCAGGTCCTGAGGCACATTCAGAAATTCTCCTCTCGCATGGGGTGAGCAGATGACATATTTGGCATCTCAAAGTTTCAGCTTCGACCAGTGGGTCATGCTGACAAAGACCCTCTCTGTCTGGGATGTAGAGGGGAAGTGCCGCCCAGCAAAGCCGTGCAAATCCATTGCGCCTTGTTTTCAGTGCCGCAGCTGCTTGTCACGTTGAGGGGTCCAGCGAGGAGGGGGCATGGGTGCAAAGGATCAGGTTAGTGTAGGAGGTCACCATGCCTAAATGGAGGGCATTGCTTTATCTAAGTACATGACTCCGAGCAAGAGCATGCATCGCGTCGCTTCAGCAACGGCATGCATCATGCAGGTTTCAGCGAACGAATGCGCTGCTTTGACCACTGCTGCCATTGAAGCACGGCTTGCAGAGGCCGTGTGTCATTGAATTGCGACAGTGCAGCGCAAGAACAGGGAGAAGGATTCACAGTCCAGCATGTCTTGGCAGGAAGCCAACAAATTGTCCATGAGCTGTTTTCAAACAAACGATCTTGCCGAGACCTCCAAACTGTGGCAGAAAGCTGCTGCCTTGAACAAGAGATAAGAAGAGCTAGGGTGCTGTGAACAGTTCTGGCTGGTGTCTTGTTCTGTGGCATGTCAGCTTTTCTCGGAGCCACTTCCCTCGTCATCCACGTCGCTGTCCTGGCGATGTGCTCCGAGAATGGTTATTCGGTCAGGCCAGCTGGAGTGGCTAGGTTGAGGTGAAATGCTAAAACGCAGCTTTCTCCATTCTTATCTGGCACAAAAACAAGCTCGCACGCCGTAGAGCTAACTGTCAATTTACCCCTAACTGGCCTTCCTACATTCGCTGGCTCCTATCTCGAATAAAATCCTTGCCGCTTCTGAGCATGTTATGTCCGAAGCGCATCCCTTGAAGAGTCACAGCGCAAAGTCAGACCGCCTCAATCTCGCTGCCAGCGTCGCCTCCGGAGCCTGCCGGTGGTGCCGGTTTCCTGGCAAAGGGATCCTGCCTTCTGCTATGCCGCCATGCCGATCAGCAATTCTGAAAACAGTTTGAAGTGGCGTTCTTAGCGTCTGGGTTTAGGTCTGGGGGCAGCTTTACTTGGAGGAGGTCTGCTGAGATTCGTCAGTTCGGACGTGGATCGCAATTGCGGCACCGCTGTGGCTGGACCACGCTAAAACTTGGCGGCACTGCTTGCAGTAGAAGTATAGGCCAGCTCCAATGATGGCAATGCCGAACGGGGACATGACACCTTTCAGGCAGGGAGTTGGACAAATATCGATCGAGCCGTGGCCTAAGCCCTTTGCGCATTTGGTTCTTATTATTTATGGCTTTCTCGGAGCATTTCACTTACGCGGCCGCAATGAGAGCCACTTTTTGCACGAGCTGTCGCGACCATGAACTTAAACCTTATGTTACAAGGCGCAGGACATACACGCATTACGCTGCGCTGTGGAGCCAAGCATTACTGGGAAGTCGAATAAACATCAGCTGCTGCGAACACTATTCCATCAGAATGCCCACATCTCACAGCAGTCACGCGCACCATTGACACCGGCGTGGCCAATCGTTGCTTTAGCCGTTAGATAAAGTTCAGTGAAGGATGGTTGGGTCGCTGCTCATTTCAGGATATCATCAATACTCCGCTGCGTTCCAATCATGCCATGATACGCGTTGAAGCTGAGATTTCCGCGCGCAACATAAAAGTGATAGCATGACTGCCAACACTTATTCCAGAGAGGACAGAACAAGTAATCCTGGATATTTCAAACGAATTCTCGACATTCCAGTTCCAGTTCTTCTGGCAAGCTAGAAAACACAGAAACTACATCAAGAAAAATCCACACAAAAAGGAGCCTCATACAAAGGTTAACCCTTCGCCTGCCATCAGGGCTGCCTTTGAGCCAGAAGATGGGCTCCTTGGATTAGTCAAAATCGGTGTAATTGGGGTTATATTAAGGCTATATTTAGGTTATATTAGGCTTATATTAGGGTCATATAAGGGTTATATTGGGGTTATATTAGGGTTTTTTTGGTTATATTAGGGTTATATTAGGGTTATATTGGGGTTGTATTGACCTTAATGTTAAAATATATCTGCCAGCAGTGGAAGAAGGAGGAGGAGGAGGAACCGCCGTAATCTTCGTAATGCCCTCCTCCTGATATGAGCTATAGTCTAAACTCCTAGTATCCCCCATAATAACCCCTATAGTAGTCCCCTATATAATCCCCTATATAAGCCCCCTTCAAGGAGTTTAGACTATAGCTCATATAAAAC